TTATTGAAACTTTTTTCTTGCTTTTTTGGAATATAGTTCGTATACATATAATTACTTGAATATTGTTTGAGATCACTAACATGCCAGGGCGGTTCCCGCTGACTTTGATGGTCCAATATAAATCTCATTCAGGAGGCTTGAAACAGTAATGGTTTAGTCTTGTGAATTTTAACAGTTCCCTGTCATCGTTTAACAAAATCAACAACTGGCACAGCTTCTTAAGCTGTGGTTTCAGTCTCTGCTAGTTCATATTGCATGTTTATTTTGGACAGTCTTCTGTTAAGCATGGTGCTTGTACTGGTTTAAATAAAATGTTAACATGAAAGGACTTCTAGCTTTTCATTTTTTACTCGCCTCCTCTTCCCTTTGCAATTACTATTACCTGCCTGGCGCAGTTATGGCATTTGTGTGAGCCACACAGATATAACAGTTTATCCTGAACACCTGAGAGGGGAAAATAAATGGGAATCACTTGGCAGTATAGGATTGGGAGCGGGAAAACGTAATCTATATATATAAAAGCCTAAGCAACTGAATGACCGGTCAACGTGATGCACACTGACCATGAGGGGGCAAACGCTCAATGCAGGAGCTTCCCCCGGGTGGTCAATGCGCTCCCACAGCTAACGTCCCATGGTCCCCTTAGCCGGCCGCTCCCCCCACCCCCATTGCCCCAATTGCCGGCCAGGCCGAGGGACCCCACCTGTGCACAAATTTGTGCACCAGGCCTCTAGTGAGATTATAAACTTTTCTAAAACTTGGTCTGATACTAAAATTATTTCTTTGTAGCAGCTGAGGAGTTTATTTCAAATGATGAACTTTTGCTTTCAAAGGGAAAATTAGATGTTGGAGGCACTGTGTACGTCCTAAAAAAATCAAAGTTTCTTTTATTGAGTATAGTTTATCACTGTTTATTAACCATTCATTGAAAACCCATCCTGCCTTTATGATATATTATCCTACCTGGTATGTGTTTCATAGGTATCTATTGAATGAATAAAACTCACCAGTACTTACATATACATCTTTTGATTGAATATGTGGTAGTCACAGTATATTTATGGTTGTGAAAGGAGTGGTTTGTGCCTTACCATCTTTGAGAATCTCACTAGGAGATTTGGCCACAGGGAAACGTGTCTTCCTTATTTCTCAAATTCGGCTACTTGGCCAGCCCCTAAATTTTTTCACCTTCCTTGTCTTTTGGCCCTTTTCACTTTTCAGCAGCAAAACACATTTGTGACCACTCACCTCATAGCATGGGCCCACTCTCATTTGCATAAGGGCACTCCCTGAGTGGAAATGGTATCCTAGTACAGTATATTTTTAGTTATGTTGGGGAGCCAATTAGATTAAGATCTAACTGCTGAGCATCAGGGAGGTTTCACACAGTTCTCTAATCTTTACTCGACATCTGCTCACAGGCTACATGAAAGCTCCCTACTGAGGTAACCCTCTCTTCTAATTATAGGAGAGAAAAGGCTGAATGCTGAGGCTGCATCCAGAGGCCACCCTGTGGTGCCCAGACAATGCAGGGCAAGGCTGTGTGAGAGAGAGAAGAGTGTGTGTGCGTGTGTGTGACTTCTAGTCTCTATTACTTACACAGCTAAGTATAGATTCTCTTACCCTGGAATGTGAGGTCCTCCATATTTTGGCCAATTCCTTACCTGTAATGCAGAAGCCAAGCCCAAACAGGCCACAGCCCTTTGTTAGGTAGAAATGCCCCAGCCACTGCTTGCTGAAGGGGCAAGTCTTTAGACAGCTGTTATATGTCCCAAATGGATGTACTTTCCTGTCCTCAACCCTCTCCCCACCCCTAATACACACATGATTGCTCGCTTCCAGCTCTGCCTGTTAAACCCAAGGGCAGCCTGCTTGTATGATGTTGCCTGAATGGTACCAGAAATGAGCTGGGCTAGTCTGAAACTATAAAGTACCTTCAATTCCTGACACTGGGGAGATGATCTCATTCTCTTGAATGAGGCAGTTAGCAGTGGGAGCTGAACTT